ACTTCTAGGCTCCAGGCTTTTGTGGTCCTGACCTGAATCTTGCAGGCATTTGGGAGTAAACCAGCGTATGAAAGATGTTGACATCTTTCTCCCTCTTTCTGTTTTTCTGCCTCTTAATTAGATGAAACAGATGTTTTAAAGGCATTAATATTAGCTTACTTGAGAAGCAGAGAGACAGATGGAACAAGCCCCTGTCTATTAGTTCACTCCTCAGTGTCCTCAACAGTTGGGGCCAGGCTGAAGCGAAAGCGAGGACCCGGGAACCCAAAACGAATCTCCCAACATGGATGGCAAGGGCTCGGTTCCCTGGCTCATCACTGCCGTCTCCTGGGGTCTCAGACAAGAAGCACACTGTGTTCAGCCATAGCAGAAGGGGAATGGCAGGGGAGAGTGGATGAAGTTAAAGAAAAATAATGAAAATTACCAAGTCTGAACAACAAAGACAAAAAGATGGGTGCAAAAACAGAACCTGGAGGATCTATAGACAATAACAAGAAGTATAACATTTATGCCATTGGAGTTGTAATAGAAAATAAGTAAAATTGGAGTGTTACGTTTGAGTAAATAATGGTCAAAGCATGTCAAATTTATAAAAGATACATATTTACAAATTAAAGCAGTTCACTGAACTCTGAACAGGATAAATGTAAACAAATTGACGTAGCTACTAATTGATCAATCTGATAAAAATTTAAGATAAAAAAGAAAAATCTTGAACATAACCTGCAAAAAATTACGGAATAAGCACTTCCAATGACCATAAATTGCAGGGAATCAGAAGAATGTGGCAAAAATAGAAAATAGAATGGAAATAAGAACACATGAACACCACTTACTATAAAGTTTTTATATTCTGTCACTTGGTAAAATTGAACATCTGTACAAGGAGCTTGTATACATTGAGCCCGAACATGTGGCAAAGGAAATGGCTCCTTGCAGGATTCATTGAAGTACTTTTATAAACTTGGAAACTACCTCTGTTTCTATTAGTATGAGAACAGATAAATTGTGATATCATACATGCAGAGTTAAAAATCGATTGCATAGAAATATATGTATCCATACAGATAAATTTCAAAACATAACTTTAGGAAAAAGTTGCAAGTTGCTGAGTGATCTGAGCAGTATTACTTATATAATGTAAACATTTATGGAAGCATATTTTTGTAACACAGGAGTATAGAAACATAGATGTGATGTTTTATGTAAAATATTTACCTGGGACACTGATGACTTTGTTGAGGGGTGAAGAGAGGAAAATGTGCAGCAGGATAATCAACTCCGTGTACTGGTAGTGTTTTCTTTCTTTAAAACAAATTGATGCAAATATGGAAAATGTCAAGTTTTGTAAAAGTTTGATAGTTACTACATCTGTGTCCCTTATGCTTCTAGTTGAATCTACTTTTAAAATTCACAATAAAATAAATATGTATAATTATGATTATCATGAAGATTTATATTGTGACCATACAGAGCAAGGTTACTCAATTGCTGACATTATTTACATTTTGTGTCAGCTAATTCTTTGCCAGGAGGTTCTGTCCTGTGAATTCTAGAGCAGTTAGCGACAGCCTTCTCTGCTAGATGTGCATAGCACACTCTCAGTGCTTACAACCAAAGCTTTTTCCAGACTTTCCCAGCAGTTCGTCATTTGCTTTTGGTTGAAATTTGGAAAAGCTTACGAAGTGCTATTACCTGTGTTAGCATGTTTGCATCTCACAGTAACCCTCAGAGGAAGATCTTCTTTTAGCATCTTAGTTTTTAAATAGAATGCAGAGACTGAGAAACCCAGTTAAGATCGAAAGGTAAAGAACTAAAATCCAGGTCTTTATTATGCTCACATGTCATTTGTGTGTGTGTGTGTTTGTACATACGTGAGTGTATGTCTCCATATATTCCCAAATAATCTTAACATCTACAAACCTAATTCCAAGTAGACATAAGAAGTTTATTCCATTTGCATTTCTTTTGTGAGTTTATTATTCCATATCACTTCCAGTAATTTTGTGATGCCTCCCTGAGGATTGCCAGGCTCGTCATCTTTTATTCGTGAAACTTCTTACAAACTAGAAGTTGAGTCAAGAGGAGTAGGTCACCTGCAGAGGACTGCTACATACTTACAGGCTTTCGTTCTGTTGACATCTTTATTTTGTTGCTTTCACTGTGCTTTTGGACATGAGTAACCAGCAGAAGTCTTGATGGCCTGCTAATATTCATTTATGCTAGTGGAATGTCTGTGAAAATAATGATCCACAGAAGTGTTTATAGGTAGATTTTAATATTCAAGATTGAATTTTGGTTTTAAACCTGAGTATCAAATTCACACTGCAGAAATACTATGTGTTTTTTTTTTTCATGAAAATAGGAAGTGTTACTACAATGTGGTTTTTATACTCAGGCTTTCAATAATGGTTTATTTATGGCAGGAACTAAATTATATCCTTTGTTGTATTTATTACATAAATATATGTATGTATGATTTCATAGTTTACTGTATGTGGAGTTAATGAGCCTAAAATTGCAGTTTTGATCCCCTTAACTATAAAGCTTTACTTAGGGGCAGGGAGTCTTCCATAACGTATTGTTTACTTTTAGTTTTCTCACAAATGCTTTTCTCAGTTACAGAGAAGATTGAGAGCTAACATGTAATTAAGCAGTGGGGCCTTTCATTCTTTCGGGTGGTTTGGAGAACTCCTGTATTTCAATACCCAAAAGATCACCTGGGAAGAGCCAAGAAAAGAGTTCTCCAGCTCTTGCCGCCATTGAACTTCACATAGCCCCTGCAGTGGCCTAGGCTTCGTTTGTAGAACCTTGCTTTCTTCTGCATTGTCGTCCTGTTCACGTCATTCAAGTCATTCCTTCACACAGAGATCACCTTTATTAGCTTTCTAAATAATCTGCCCTTAGGTTAAGGGTTAGAAAACTATTTCTTACTACCAAGTCTAGGTCACCAAGTTGTACAAATGTCTGATAGATAGATAGCAATAATTGTTGGTTGCCTGTTTATTCTTAAACACATGTTGGAAAGAAGAAGCAGTAAGAGTTTAGGACATATTGCTTATTGATTCACAAGAGAACCTAGTGAAATAATTTGAGTTTAAAAACTTACAAGTAAGTTTGAGTTGGCCTAGTTAGAATACTTAAACTTATATTTTTAAAAATCTATATAACTTACAGAATTGCTCACTAGAAATTAAGGCCTATTTCAGAAGAATTATAACCATGTATAATTATGTATTATAACCAAGTATGTTTTATTTATAATAACTTATCTAGCATTAGCAGAATAAAATTATAGTTAAATTGATTTGTATTTTAAAAGCATTTTACACTGGAACAAAAATATAGCAACCATACAGATAGCTATCTGTATGGTAAAATGGTAAGTTACATGAAGACAAATAATCAAATTCATGGAGTTTTGTTGCATTGTTATGGTTACACTACGTTCATGGATATGAATTTTCCTGACAATTTGTTTGTTGTTTTATACTGTCAGTGTATACCTCAGGTTGATCGACTAAATGTTGTATTTGCAGGCTTAACAGCCCTCTGCAGAATGAGCCTGTATGTATGGTAGTGATACACAGGATTTAGTTATTGCTAGTATGACATGCAATAAGTTTATTTAAAAGTAAGCTTTATCAATAATGAATTTAAGATTTGGCTCTGTTTAAAAAACAACACATACTAATTTATGAGCTCTGTGACAGAGTAAGTATTCGCATAAATGGATGACAGCAATATTAATTCTTGTCAGTTAAGGGTGGTGCTGCTTTCAGCAGACAGTTTAGACGCTGCTTGGGCACCCACATCTCGTGTCAGACAGAGTACGTAGGTTTAGACCCTGGCTCTGCTTGCTGGTACAACAGTCCTTCAGTTGTGCACCTGGCAGGCAGCAAGTGATGGCCCAAGTGCTTGGGTCCCTCCTGCCCATGTGGACACCAGGATAGAGTTCCCAGATTCTGGCTTCAGCCTGGTCCAGCCCAGTGCCAGCTCTTGTGGGCATCAGAGAATGAGCCAACAGTTGAAAAAAATAAAATTGCTGTTTGTCGCTCCCTCTGTCTCTGCCTTTCAAATAAATTGAAATAATCTGTTTTTTTTTTAATACTAATCTTTGTTAAACCTCAGTGCAGCTACTAATTATTTTCCTTATCAAATTAAAAACAAGACAAGTAGTTGTGTGAGAGAAAGAGTAAATGAAATTGTTGATGCTTTGATGGCTTTTAAACTTCATTAAAATGGTAAATTAATAAGCATTAAGACTGCTGCATTGAAACCTCAACTTGGTTAAATCATAATGGTTGCCTTAGGTATGTTTTATATTCTCAATTAATTTCTGTTTTATTGTGCCTGTTTTGATTTATTTACTTGTTATAGATAATTTCTTCCCATGTAATTATATTGAGGAAATTATTTATGTAAATTCAAATTGTTACAGCTTTTCTTAAATTGCATGAAGGAGTATATCCTTGCTTATGTTTTAAAAAATTGAAGATTATACTCATAATGAAATGAATTTTTGCATCTAATTTTTCAAAGTCAAATTTAAGATTGATCTTAATCTCAAAAGTTTATTGATTTTTATCTCACAAGAAACAGAAATCTAAATTTGTTAGTAATATAGCATATAATCCTATGATTATTTAGTGTGCCCTAACCAAATAAGGAAGTATAATTCAGTTAGACATTAATTGTAAGCTGAAATTTTGTGAGTGAACTTTGGGGTTGGATAGCATTATCTCATCACATGCAAAGCAAAAATCTATATGTATTGTGGTGAGGAAAAACACCTTCACTCTTTAAATCAAAGAAGTAAATACAAACCATCCCCATAAGGAACACTGATTTATATGAAGAAATTCTGAAGTATTTTAATAATCCAGATGATGAATAAATGAAAACAGATGATAAAAATATCAGTTTGAAGATGTAGATAATACCAGAGACATTCTTATATCAATCTCACCTTTTTCCTTATACTCTTCGATTTTATGCAGATGGAGGGAGCGAGGAAGCACCGGATCGAAGACAGTCGAGTGTAGATTCTCGCCAAAGTCGCTCTGGGCAAGGTAAATTTTTCTAGAGACTGAGGGTTTTGCTGAGTCTAGGCTAGATATTCTGGCTTTTCGTTACGTGATGCTCTAGAAGTTTGATTTAATATTTAGCTGAATTGTAAGAAGATTAAAAACGATCTCATGTCATTTAAGAAATAACATTAAGGTTTAAGTAATATTGAAGCATGTATGCTGGTTTTATGTCTGAATATCACATTTAAAATGTAATCAGAATAGATTTTCAGCAATATCATTTATTGGAGTATAATCCTTACTGGCTTTTTGAGTTCATCTTAGTTCCCCTAGAAAAAAAAGGTGTTTTTTGTTTATAATCATTGTATTGTAGGATTTTTAAACTTATTTCTATTTTCCATTTGATTTATTTTATTTCATTACCATTATTTATTAAGATTTACTTATGTCATGTTTGATTATGTTCTTTAAATGATAACTCCAAAACTAGGAAAAATATATTCAGAGCCAATGAAATATTCAGAAGGCCTTCCGATATTAACTTACTCAAAATTGCACGATACCCACCCCACCTCCTTTTTATTCATAGTGTTTATGAACTTGTATTTGTTTTTCTGCTTAAACTACAGCAAGTGCCCTGTAATAGCATAGTATTTTTTCTGTTTTGTTCATTTCTGTATTCTTGTTGTCAAGAATAAGTACTTGGAATGTCGTAACTGCTACGTAAGTATTGAGCGAGTAAGTTGGTCACTAAGAGAATAAGAATATAGGACCCAAACTGATGAATATACTGTACAATTTCTTTGTCAAAATTTTATTGAAGTGACATTAAGTGATCATTTACTGAGTTTAATTTTTCAGGCAGCCTTTAACCACAAATAAAATAAGGCTTGAATTTGCAAATGCAATGTTGATCTTGTGAAAGCTTTAGATGAATTTACTCCATAGTCATTCAATTTTCTTCTCCACCTTTATTCTCTTTAAATATTAAAGCTATGCAATTTTCCATAGAATTTTATGGAACATATATTACTACTTAATGAATTTTTCCATTTTTCCTTTACCTGTGAATATATTTTGATATAACGAAATATTAAGACAAAATAAGATCATGTACATGAAACTTAAAAGCAAAGTCAGTAGAAATTAGTACAAAAATTACATCAATTATAGTTAACTATATTGTATTAAATCTCACAGATACAGATATTTGAAAATTTTTATCAATTTCCTTTGATTATAGTCAGCTAAAATACTAACTTTATTGACAAGAACGAAACTTCAAATAGCAAAAACAGTGATTTCTGTGATCCAGAGCACAATAACCTGATCTCAACTTAAACTGTCCAGAAATTATGTCATCCATTATCAGAGTCAGCTGATAGTAAGAGCAGCGTGCTTCCTGAGAGATTTTGCTTGCAATATATTGTCATTCAAAGAAACACATAAAAAATAAAGCAGCATCAGCATAATTTTAGAAATTGGAAGGCATATAGATAATTGGAAACTTAAATCTAAACTCAGTAGTGGAGGAAATCAGCCAAGATACTAAATTATACTGAAACTATTGATTAAATATAACAAAACAAAACATTTTAGGCCATGCAAAAATCTTTTTAAAAATAGAGTTAAGGGCCCGGTGCGGTGGCGCAAGTGGTTAAAGGTCCTCTCCTTGCACGCCCAGGATCCCATATGGGCGCCGGTTCTATCCCGGCAGCCCCGCTTCCCTTCCAGCTCCCTGCCTGTGGCCCGGGAAAGCAGTCGAGGACGGCCCAAAGCTTTGGGAACCTGCACCCGCGTGGGAGACCCGGAAGAGGCTCCTGGCTTTGGATCGGCATAGTATCGGCCCGTTGCGCTCACTTGGGGAGTGAATCATCGGACGGAAGATCTTCCTCTCTGTCTCTCCTCTCTGTATATCCGCCTTTCCAATGAAAAAATAATAAAAATAAATCTTTAAAAAAAATAAAAAGAGTTAAGGAGTTATAAACACATACACACAAAGAGAGAATATATATATATTATATATATATATATATATATGTGAGAGAGTATCAGCTGCTTCATTCCTCAAATGGCACAGTGAATGGGGCTGCGCGAGACTGAAACCAGGACCGATTTCCTAGGCGGGTTTCCTATATGGGCCACAGGTATCAGAGCATTTGAGTCTGTATGCTGCTGTCTTCCCAGGCACGTTAGCATGAAGCTGGACTGGAGGTAGATTGTCTGGGACATAAACCAGTGCTCATATGGAATGCCAGTGTGCCAGTGTTCTAGCCCCGTGTACCACAACACCAGCCACGGAACACATAGTTCTCAAAATTAATCTGCCTGCCTGTGCCCTTAGGAATCTTTTGGAAACTATGATCTAGCAAAATAAGAAAGGGAAATAACGGGAAATACTGTGTTGTAGGTAATAGGAGAGTCGTTAAAGCAAAAAGATGACAAAGAAAAGGTAGGGCTGGAGCTCTTCTCTGAAAGAGTAAAATGAGATTGAGGTGAACTTGGATCAGTTAGTTCTCTCCAGAGAAGTTTCAGATAACTGATTAAAGGCTGAGGGTTGATTGATAATATATAAACTAATGAGTAAAGGAAAGCTCAGAACTCCAGGGGGAACAGATAATGTGCAAACGTGGAGATGTCAGAAGTCCTAACCCCCCAGAAGAGTCCAGAATAGCCAACATCCTCCAGTAGAAAGCCTGTCAGTTTAGTTAAGTGCATGCTACAGATGCTTCATTATTGATTTGGAACAATATGGTAGGAAAGCTCAGTGCTCAGAAACAGAGCAAGCAAATCTAGACTGTGGCTTGATTTATATGATTGATGGATTTGCTGAGAATTTAGGTTACTTTTATATCTGTGCTCTCATGGGTTACTGACCATTAGTTTTCTTGTGTTGTATGATGTCTTTGTCCGGTTTTAGAGTTAGACTGATGCTGGTCTTACAAAGCACATTGAAAGTTTAAAACCATTTCCTGCTTTCCAATTTCTGAAAGTATTTTGTGTAGAATTTATACTGCTTCGTCCTTAATTATTGGCTACAGTTTCTCAGAAAGCCATGTGGGCCTGGAACTTTTTTTGTTACAAAGTTTTAAAAGAAATTCAGGGGATGGCATGATTCTGGCATCCTGTATGAGCATCAGTTTGATTCTTGGTTGTTTAATTTTTAATCTGTTTCCTGTTAATGCCCCTGGGAAAGCACTAGAAGCTGACCCAATTCTTTGGACCCCTGCACAGATGGGAGACCCAGATGGAGTTGTACACTTGTGGCTTCAGCTGCAATAGTGCTGACCTTCACCACCATGTGGGGAGTGAGCCAGTGGATGCAAGCATCATATTGTCTTTTTCTCTGTTTCTCTAACTGTTCCTTTCAGATAAATAAATAAATATTTTTTAAAAATCATCACTATGCAACTATAAATTACACACTTCTTGAGTAGTTTTAATATATGTAGATTTTGTAGTGATGTCACCTCTCTCATTCCTGATGTTGGTAATTTGGGTTTTTCTTTCTCTTTGCACTAATCATTGTGTCTAGAGAGATCGCAAAGAATCAATTTTAGTTTTTATTTGTCTTCTGTATTTAATATCTTCCCTATTTTGTAGTCCATTTGGTTTCTTCTTTATTATGTAGCATTTCCTTTCTTCTGCCTGTTTTGATTTTCATTTTCTTTTATAGTTTCCTAAGGTAGAAGTGAAGGTCATTGCTAACATTCTTTTCCAATGTGGAAATTTAATCATATACATTCCCTTCTACCACTTTAGCTATGTTTGTTACATTTTGGCAAGTAGCATTTTCATTGTATTTCAAGATGTATTTATTTTAAGATGTGTGTATTTATATATTTTTGAAAGGCAAAGTAACAGACGGAGCAACAGACACACAGATACAAATAGAGACAGATCTTCTGTCGGCTGCTTCACTCCCCAGGTGGTTACAGCAGCTGGAGCTGCTGAAGACAAGGGCAGGGGCTTTATCTGGATCTCCTGCTTGGCGTGCAGGCCCGAGCACTTGGGCTGTCTGCTGCTGCTTTCCCCAGCTCATTAGCAGGAGAGCTGGTCAGAGATGGAAGCTCAAACTTGTGCTCATATGGGGTATCAGTGTTGCAGGCATGGGCTTACCGTGCCATGTCAAAACGCTGGATGCTGGCACTGTCATTTAATGCACAATAGCCTTTGGATGTCTTCTTTGACCCATGTGTTATTTAGAAACGCAGTGATGTAGTTTCTAAACATTTGCAAGTTTTCCAGATAGCTTTCTGTTGTTGACACGTGAAGAAGCACACGTTTTATGGATTGAATAATTTTATTTTATGGCCCAGGAAATAGACTGGCTTAATAAATGTTCTGCGTGTATTTCAAAAGAGTGTGTACTATGTGCCATTAGGACAGAAGACCCTATAAATGTCAGCGCATTCGAGTTATGTGAAGGTGTTTAAAGGCTTTGGTATTCTTGTTGATTCTTATGTCTCAGTTATTGGGAGAGGAATATGGACATTTCAGGATGTCAGTTTGGATTTGACTCTTTCTCCTGGTCAGAGAGGATTCTCCTCCCTCAGATTTGTGTACCAGGTGTGTGGTGCACTTGCCTGAGCGCTGCACTAGTTGAGAAAGGCGAAAGGAGAGAAAGCCAGGGTTTGCTGTAATCTTTCAGTCTCATACTGAGACCTGCCATTTCTACTTTTTCATCAGAGAGAAGACTTCACTTGATCTCTTTTTGTTTGTTCCTGATGTCTGGTTCTAGAATTTGGAGTTAGATTGGATGTTTTGAGGACATAGAAAACAATAAGAGGGGTGGGCATTTTGTCTCAGAGTTAAGATGTAAATTGTGAATCCCACATCTTGTATCAAAATACCTGAATTTGGGTCCGGCACAATAGCATAATGGTTAAGGTCCTCGCCTTGAATGCGCCAGGATCCCATATGGGCGCCAGTTGTAATCCTGGCATCTCCACTTCCCATCCAGCTCCCTGCTTGTGGCCTGGGAAAGCAGTCAAGGATGGCCTAAAGCCTTGGGACCCTGCACCCATGTGGGAGACCCGGGA